AGAGTGGCTTTCTGTGCTAGGTGTCCTATAGGGCCCAGTGGCTCAGCCTCCCCAATTACCTGAGCTGGAAACTCTTGGTGAACCCCTTTGTGGGCTGCGTGTACAGTCTTGTTATAGTTAAGCCTTGATTGTTGTAGGTATCACTGGGAGGAATTGACCTCCAGGCCAATTGGCTGTGAGAATCAGCTGTGTCTACAGTGGGAGAAGTTCTGTGCTGGAGACACCCCTCTGGGGCAAGACTTGCTTCAGTGGGGCTTTGGTACTCACTGAGTCTGCCCCCTGAGTGTGTGTCCCTTATGGATCTGAGGAGTTGTAATCTGGATGGTCCCACTCTGACCACTGCGTACACTGGCTCTTGTATCTCAAAGGAGGTGCTAATTTAGCTTCTGCCTGAGGCTAGCCAGCAGGAGCCCAGCTGTGAAGCAATGCAAGGTGCTGTCGGGCCTTGGGTCTTCTTTTGGAATTTCTGGGTTTCTTTGACCTAGCTGCAGTTTGTTAGGTAATTTTCAGATTGCAAAGGGCCAGGCCTTTCATATGCAAAAGCCTCTGTGTACAGCTTGGGTGGGGCGGAGTCTCTGAGGATCAACAGGGTGGAGCAAGCAGCTATGGCTGCTTCTCAGTCCTACCTTAAGAGGCTCCGCTTCTCAGTGTCCCCGTAATCGCTGCAAGTACCTCTGAGAGAAAGCCACCCTCGAGTTCCGTCTGATGCCAGACAGTCCAGTTTCTCCCCATATGAGTCTGGGTCCCCAGAGACTCGCCCAGCACCAGAGTTCAGAGCAGTCAGGAGCTTGAGATTCCCTCCCGATTGAAAAAGACAATCATGTCTTCAGTTTCCAGCCCTTTCCAGGTGCGCTGCATCCTCAGCTGCCAGCCCTTTGCACTTTACTTCCGTAACTCCTCTGAGCCTCAGTGTGCTTTTCTCTTTCCTTCTATTTGTAGAATTTCCACTCAACCAGCCTTCCTGTGGTTCTGGATGATGTCCGTTTTGTCTTTTAGTTATATTTTTCCTTTGCCCATTTTTTAATTGGATTGCCTTCCTTTTGTTAAGTTGTATGAGTTCCTTATATATTTTGGATATTAACCCTTTATCAGATGTATCGTTGCCAAATATGTTCTCCCATACAGTGGGCTCCCTTTTGGTTTTGGTGATGGTTTCTTTTGCTGTGCAGAAGCTTTTTATTTTGATGTAATCTCATTTGTTTATTTTCTCCTTAGTTTTCTTTACCCTAGGAGATTATCCATAAACATATTGCCTGGAGAGATTTCTGAGTTTTTTCTGCCTATAGTTTCTTGTAGGATTTTTATGGTTTCACTATTTACATTTAAGTCTTTTATGCACTTTGAGATTATTCTTGTGTATGCTGTAAATTGGTGGTCTAGTTTCACTTTTTTGCACGTGTCTGTCTAATTTTCTCAACACCATTTATTGAAGAGACTCTCTTGACTCCATTGTATGCTCTGGCCTCCTTTGTCAAATATTAATTGATCATAATATCTTGGGTTGATTTCTGGGGTCTGTGTTCTGTTCCATATATGCCTGTTCTTGTGCCAGTACCAGGCTGTTTTGATTACAGTGGCCTTGTAAGGTAAATTGAAATCTCTTTTGTGATTCCTCCAACTTTGTTCTTCTTTTTCAAGATTGCTGCAGCTATTTGGGGTCTTTTTTGGTTCCATATAAATTTTTGGAGTATTTGTTCTAGATCTGTGAAATATGTTGTTATTTTAATAGAGATTGTATTGAATTTGTAGATTGCCTTGGGTAGTATGG